GCTGAGTAGTTTTAGGGATTTTTTAAAAACAAAATAAAACTAAGGTATGATAGATACAATATCATACTAGCCTCAGGGGACTTGGTTGTGACCCTAGTTCTGCCGTGGACAAATCTCAAAACATCTCAGAGCATCCATTTTTGCAACTGGAAGATGAGAAGTTGGATTAGATGATTACAGGGACCCTCACAGGCAAAGCACACCTGGTCAGGGAAGCTAACCCCTCATGTCTGTGACCCACAAGGTCTGAGGCACAGGGGACCAGGCAGAACAACAGAGCAAGCCTTCCTGGGCCAAGAGAGCCACTGGAAGGGATGGCTAGGTGCTCCCATGTCACCTGATGAGATCTTGCTTGGTTTCATCAGTCCCTGTAGACATGCATCTGCTTTATATACTGGAGGAATGAATTCCTGGGGTCCACGTTTGAGGAATGACAAATGCCACAGTAAAAATGGTATTGGGATGCCAACAATTCACTCACAGCATCATGTCCCTTAGAGGTAAGGAAAAGGGAAAAGATGGCCCTCTGGGATTGAAATCAAGCTAATGTCTTTATTCACTTAAGTAACTAGGAGAATAAAATACCCACATAGACCAGGTTTTCAAAGCAGAAAAATCGGAAGCCTAAACATATTCTTTAAAATCTAAATTGGTCAAATGATGCTCCAAGTGACACTAGGAACCTTACGGTTAACTACCCCAACCAGAAAAGTGAGAAGTGTCACACCATGCTGTCACCTATCCAGGCAGCCTAGTCACAGCCAAATCTAATCTCTTAGGCAAAATATGGAATGATAGGATTACATAATTAATTTTCCTGTTAGGCATAATTGTTACTGACTTCAAGTCATTACAATGTCAAATCATCTGGTAGGCGATTGCTATCACATCCCAATTACAAAAACATACAAACAATTTGTAACCATTCATTATTAAATAACAAGCAAGGTCACAGTGGCTAAATGGAAACCTAGAAAAATGAAAATTAAAGGCAAAATGGACAAGAGGTGCTGAAGAAATTAATCAATTAATCCTGATGAAATTTCTTTTGTGTTATTAGGTATCTAGCTCTCAGGTTACCTGATAAACGTATTTTCTAAGAGCCACATTGTTTAACTTGATTAAATGTCAGAGTGACCCAGATCACTCTGTGTCACCAAGAACAGATAGCAATACAAATATTTAAAATACATCTATAATTGTCATGGCTGCACTAACAAGGATAGCATCCTTCCTTGGTTGTCTACAATAAGGAAACCACACAAACAAACAAAAATAGGCAAATTAAAGGATATGTATGTAATGAAAGACTTTATTCTGTAGTTCTCAGTGGATGGGTCTAAAGTTTATGAGGCATCAATTGAGGAGAGTGTCAAAGAATCACAAGCTGAAGTATGGGCACCTCTGCCAAATGTGAACTAGCCTAAAGAAGAAAGTGCACCATCTCTGAAATCAACTTGAGCTGTGCATTACCTGGTACTCAAACATGGGTGGGTCTGTAACAACTCAGCCAATTAGACAGGTGATATCAATCCCATCTCATAGATGGAGAGGCACTTCAAGGAGGTAGTAAATAGCCCATAAATTTCTTCTACTAACCCTACCTAATTGGAATTTTTTTAGACACAGAATAAAACTTATGATAGAATCTTCTAGGAACAGCAAAAACTTGTTGAATAATGGGGCCAAGAGGAAGGACTTAACTAATGCATATTTGGGGTCTCTCCTAAAGAAAAGAGATGCATTCTTACCCTGACCCCATGGCACAAAACTCTTTTAAAAACTCACTATGCAATATGTGAGTGTCTAGCCAGGCCTAAATATAGTTTAAAAAGCATTTCTCTGGCTCTGAATTCTAATAAGTCCTGGAATACCACTGCTGCTGCTATTAAAAATCAAGTTTTAAGAGTAGAACAAGAATGGCTCCAGAATAAAAGCAATTAACTATATGTTTGCTGCAAAGATGTCAACACAGATTAGCTGCCAATGACCTGACTACTCGTGTTGCAAAAAGTTTTAAATCATTTGAAAAATTGCAAAAAAAAAAATATATATATATATATATGAGTCCTACAAATGAAAATTAAGAGTCATAAATGGGAATTGTTTCAGACCCTATTCTTTTCAGATTTTAACAATAAAAGTCAATGAAAAAGAGTGATTTGCATACACATCTTCATTTTGCTGAAATGCTCACTTCCATTGCTAAAGAAAGTACCTAGAGGGTAAAAGATATTAAAAGCTGTACATGCAGAAGTTTAAATATGAATGCATATTCATGTAATGCAGAGCAATAACCAAATCAGAAATAAAGACTAAGGGAAGAATTTTTAGTCTTTTTAGTCTTAGGATTGCTTAGAAGTAAATGTTGATCTCTTTCAAATGGATTTCAAAATTCTTTGGCCTATCTAATCCACACCCCTTCAACATACATGCAGAATATGAGTGAACCATTTGCTACTAAAGCTAATGGTATAGACATTATCATCTAAAGCCAAAAAAGGAGGGAGGAATCCTCTAGATGGTTCTAGATGATAATATCTATACCAACAAATCCCTGATACCCATTATTATGCGCTAGAACACAGCCGAGGTGACTCAAATCTCATCATACTACCATTTCTGTAGAGCAACTGAGAGACACAGTAAAACATTATGGACTCCCTAAAAATTCCAACCACAGAATGACAATCCACTAGTTAATTTACTGTCCTGAGGCTATGGTTTGGTTTAACTTCTTTAAAAAATCTTCAAATCCCTTTCTAATCCACTACTGACTCCCGCAAAGACCACCCAACATAGTTCTCTCCCTCACATATCTGTTCTTGTAAGATTTGATCATCAGAAGGAATCTAAGATGCAAAATAACTCATATACAATTAATTGACTTAGCACCAAAAATGACTTAACATACCTGATTATAAACTGAGTAGGATAAAGGTTAGTCAGCTTTCCATCACTATAACAAAATACCTGAGATAATTAACATTTAAATAAAAGGTTGATTTAGCTCATAGTTCTGAAAGTTCCAGTTCAAAATCAGGAGGACCCACTGCTTTGGGCTTCTGGTGAGGGTGTTGGATAGCAACAGTGGAGAGTACAGAGTGAAACACACTACTCACTTTAGGTAGCACAAGAGAAAGAAGAAGAACCAGAGCTCCACAATCTCCTTCAAGAGCACACCAATAACCTGAAGACCTCCCACTAGACCTTATCTCCTAAAGGCTCTACTACCTCCAACAGCACAACTCTAGGGACCACGCCTTTACTGCATGGACCTGTGGGGGACATTCAACATCCAAACATTAGCAGGGTGTAAATACATGGGAACTGACAGAACTATACTTTGAAGAGGAAATTGCTGGAGTCCCCAGCTTGAATTTCCATTACAGTGAATTTATATTATCTTCTGAACATTTGGCATTAAAGAGTTAAACAACTGACAGCTTGAAAGAATTAATCATAATGATCCACGCACCAGGTGAATTACAAGTTCATTCATCCATAGTGCACAGGTTCAACTCAAAAGAAAGAGAGTAAGAACAACACAGTTCCAAACTAATGTGCAAAGAGTTTCTTTGCCAACCCTAATTAGTGAAAAAACCAACACAATTCAAGTGCCAGAAGAGGTACAAAGAAATAACTAGCAAGACACACCCATTGAGCCCTTTGAATTCCTTACCACATGCACCTAGGGGCCTCAACTCTCAAAAGCAAAACACAACAACCAAAAAAAGTGAGTTCTTTTAAAACCATGGGAGTATATTTGATCAGCAGACCTTGTGGGTTGAATGATGACAGGGAAAAAAGGAGACTGACAGGCACAGACAAACATGTGGTCTGAAAATGTTCCTTTCTGTACACTATAAGAAAACATCTAATCTCCCCATTCCTGATATGACTGATTCTAGAAAGATACAGGATTGTAGGTCTAATATGCAATGGAGCAGGAGCTGATTTCTCTGAAAAGCACCTGAATTAAAGGCATGTTAAATTACACAAAAAGGAAATCTATCCAAGAGGTATGCCCTCTCACCTTCTGCTTTGTTCCCGATTCCCCTGCACCTGAGCAGGAGAAAGTACAGCAATTACTTGGGGGTGGGGGATTAATACACAATATAAGCACAAACTTAAAGTAATGTTAAAATAATGATACAAAGATGTATACTGAGGCATGTGACTCTCAACTCTGTCTCCACCTACCCACATGTGTCATCACATTTATCAATTTCTTAATTTTTCTTCTAATGTCAGTCAATCTACCCAAGTATAAGCAAATGGAAATAAACAGTCTTATTTTCTCCTCTTCAACTTTTTTGCTTTGGCTTTTCTACTTAATATCCTAGAGATTTATTTAGATGGGGCATCAGGTGTTGTCGGGTTTTATTCAGTTTCAGAATATTCCATTTTTGTGTACCTATCTTAGAGAATTAACCAGTCTCTTACTGAAGAAAAAAAAAAATGGGTTGTTTCCAACCTGTTACTATCATAAACAATGTTTTAATTCATACATGTGCAGGTGTATTTATAAGATAGATCCCTAGATGTGGGACAACCATGTTCAAAGGTTACATGTATTTATAGCTGAGAGAGACTGCTAATTTGCCTTCCACGAAGGTTACATCACTTCATATTCTCCACAGCAAAAATGTATGAGAGTTCTTGTTTCCTCAGAATCTTGAAAATAGAGGTTACTGACAAACCTGTAGGTTTTATAGAAGCTTCAAGTTCAAAACAGGAAAAGAAGAGAGAGAGAGAGAGGAAAAAATAATAATAAAGTGTTTCCAAAGATGAATGTAAGTAATTGCCAGGAGTTTCACCCTGCCATCTTTCATATAGCATCAGCAATTCCTCAAAGATGAGAGTGTGGTCCATTATCTTCAGGACACCAAAATAAAACCAGAAAAGCATACCGCTCCCCTGTACTAGACCCCTGCCCAGGCCAGTTTCTGTATCATTTCAAGCAAGAGAAAAAAAGGACCACAGAGGGAACTCCTCACCTGGCCTCTGCATTTCCCAGCTTCCTCAACTGTAACAGGTAGTCCCATGATAACACACAAACCTCCTGAGGCCACAAGGGAGATCAAATGGAGTTATTCAGGCAAGTGCTTGGTGCAAGGAGTGGCATAAGGCATGAACTCTAAAAAAGAGTAACTAGGGCTATTTTATAATAAATGCATGGCCATCATTTTAGAATACCAAGAGTGTAACCAAGTATAAATTAACTCCTGTAATTTAGTAGAAAGCTCAATTGAGTAAATCAATACACAGATACTGCTACTTTAGAGTGTGTAATCTTCATTCTCCCTACACTAGTTAATATTACCTGAAAAAGAACTAATTATTAAAATAAATGCGACCATCCCCTAAAGCATTTAGTTCATATTAAATTTTACTTAACTTAAAAAAAAACATTTGATAGTTATTCTCAGGCTTCTGGGTACAAGGCTACATATAATTCAGCAGCTCTGGGAGGCAGCCAGCAAAGGAACCCAGTTCAGAGTTCAAGTCTCTGGCTTTCCTCTCTCCAAGATAGCCTTCCTCCTAGGCATATTCCCTAGATTCTCCAGGGTTACGCGTCTTCATCTACAGAGAGAAAAATAGTTTCTTCTCATAAGGTTTGGTAAAGATCAAATAAGGAAAACACATAAAGTTCACAGTTAATGCCAAAAAAATGTTTTTAGAGGAAAAACACTGAGCAGGTTTCATTACTGTCATCTTTAGGAAACCATCTATCCTTTCTCTTTCTGCATCTGTGCTATGGTCTCTCCTGGTATCTCCTGATCCTTACTGGAGCTTTCCCCTGCTATCCCACAGACTTTCAGTACTGCTCCAGTCTGTGTTCAAGAAAAGAAGACGTGCACTCAGGCACTCAGCCTGATCCTGAAAAACTCATTTCTTGGGAGTTGCCTTTTCTCCACTTCAAGGGTTCCACAGTCCTCGTCCATTCCGCTGACACTTCTGGCCCTGTCACTCCATTGATCGGGTTTCAGGTGTGGTCCTCAAAGACCTTCCCATTGCAAGATCCAGTGCACATCTCCATTTTTCTTCAGGTTTGGCTTTTGGTCACTTCCTGCAAACCCCATCACCCAGAGTCCTGGCCATGACAATCCCCATTTGCACTCAGGCTCCTTTATAGCTCATATTCTTTTCCTTGGCCCTTGAAGGTTGGTGGTCCTTTGAGCTCCATCCGCAGCAGTCTTTGAACCTTTGTTTCTGCTTTCAGGTACCATTGCCACAGAAACAAATTCTTAAACTAAGTCATGTGCCCAGAATTCCCTCTAAGCACCAGAACAAGTTTCACCTTCACTCAGAATGCCTCAAAAAACAAACGCAGGCTCATGATCCCTGCCACCTGATCTCCATCCAGTATTGCGTAGCTCAGTGATGGCTCTGACCCCTAATCCAGAATCCTGGCTAGACATTATCTTTGACATCCTGCTCAACATTCAGCAGAGACCTGGTTGATCTTACCTCCCTACTTTTTCACTGCAGGCAACTTCTGATTATCTCCACCACCAGCCCAAGTTAACTTCATGCTTTGCCCTGCCTACTTAAATAGCTTTGGAAGGCTTCCTACCTAATCTATTCTTCATGATGTGGCCAAGTGAATTTTTTTAAATATGAAGTCTCCCCCACCCCATGCAACATTTCTATTTAGTACTCTACACTGATTTCCCATTGTTCCTATAGTAAAGACAAAACCTCAACATGACTTCTGGGACCGTGGTGGGCCTGGCTTCTTTCCTTTCCACCACAGGCCCTTTACACACCCTTTTCTTTTCCCCTGGGGAAAAATTCCAGTTACTTCAAAAGTACACTATAACAACTTGATGATATACATGTGACATGGAAACAGCTTATTGTATTTACATTGCTAGATCTCATCAAAATCAAATGATTTTTAAAAAGTAATGCATTTACATCTTATTTCCCTTATATTTAAATTCATCTAGTTTTTACTTTGTTTTCATAAGTTGGAACAGAGTTTCAGGTCACTGGCAGAAGGGGAACAAAAGGAAAAAAATCTAAAAATAACTTATTTATTATGAAATCATGATTTACGCAACTCATGTTTCCTTCGGGGATTCATTATGAGTGCAATTACATACAGGTAAGCCAATTTTTGTAACAAGTAAAAACAATATTACTTAGAAACAATTCAAAATAATCAGTATTTGTTTTTGTTTTTCAAGTATTATATCTAAAACATGAACTTTGGCAAATCATATGCTAATAATATAACATGAGAGTTCTTCTCTTCTGGCTGGGATGGGTTCAAATCAAGCTACATCAGCCCAGAGTTAAGGCTACAGAATTATTCTGATGCCTTCAGTAAGTCTTACAAACACCTCCACGGTGTCAGAGCTCCCCAGCCAGTGCAAAGATTCTGCAGAAGCTAGCCTCAGCCCATTTGCCCCCCATAAAGATTCCAACATCTTGGCCAAAACAGGAGTGGCCTTCTCTACTCCTGCTGGCTTTCACACACACACTCACACACACACACACACACACACACACACAAAAGTAGCACAAGTTATCTTGGATTTACTTTCAAATTTTATGAAATTCCTGGTATATCCATGAGCTGATCTGTTACAGACCTGGCTTCATGTTGTACTTTTTGCAAGATAGGCACCTGGGAGGGCTAGACCCACCCCCCTCAGGAAGATGTGATCTTTAAAGAGGTTTTTCCACACCCAACTCAAGGAAGAACAAACAATTTCAGGACCCAACTAAAGAAGAATGGCTTATAGTTTGGGCTTCACAGAAACAGAGCAATTCTGAAAGGCCTAGATAAAGTTCCCCTATCTCACACTAGGTATCTCAATCTTTTCAAATATGTGGGAAGTTTCTTTTGAATGCGCACACACACATGCACTTACTATATTCTACTGCACTACTAACCACATAAAAATCCATACACAGGAAGAGACCAACACAGAAATGCCTTTAAATCTACTTATTGAAACAAAGAACAAAACATGATTTTGTTTATTTTGTGTAGTTCTGGGGATGGAACACTGGACCTTGCGCTCTACCATGAAGCTACAACCCCAACTCCCTGAATTTATTTTCTGATGACAATGCTTCATAGTGTATACTGGCAAAATCCAACCGTTAATCATCTAGACTGTGAAGGACTCTACAGAAGAAGAAAATTCAGGCTAGAACACAGCACTGGACTAGTACCATTCGGCAGGTGTAAATGCACCCTGGCTCTCTAGTACTTGGAACTGCAACACCTGAAGTACCCATTCACAGCCTGGGAAACACCTGGAATATTATCTTCAGTGAGGGGATATTTCTGTTAAGAGTCTGCTATTTTGCAACATGACCCTCTGGAGACCTGGAAAAAGGTAACATGGAGCCACCAGCTGCCTGCTGGAAAAGGCAAAGTACACACCAGGTAGCAGGCTGAATGGCACTCCTATCTAAATGGACACAGTTCACTTGACTACAGACGAAAGCCACTTGTACAAGTAGAATGTAGTTTCAGGATATGATATAAACTGAAGAGGGTAGAGCAATGTCAGGAACTGTATTCAAGCTATATCAAAAAACCAACATGGAGACAATTTAATTGAAAAGGAAAATGGACATGTTAACAAAGTTTCTGCTAATCACTTATCCAAGAGTTATATTACAATATTAAATTTAGAAATATAAAGTTAGTCTGAAATTTACAGAGTATATTATTAAAAATTTTTAACTGATGCACATAAATGTTTATGGGATACCATGTGATATTTTAATACATATATACACTGTACAATGTTCAAGCCAGGGAAAACTTTTTTATCTCTTCAAACATCTGCATATCTTTATGGTAAAACATTCAGAATACTTATCCTCTAGCCTAAAACACACACACACACACACACACACATTACTTGTGCAATAGAATATCAGAACTTCCTACTAACTGTAATTAGTACCCATTAATAACCTTAGACTAAAGTTTACAGAGCATAAGCCTTTTTTAAAAATCAAGATTTTAAGCATAAAAGTATCACTTTTCGATTCAGGAAGGACTTTTCAGTCAATCCTGAGATGTGATGGCCAGCAAGAACCTGCTCCAGGAATATTACACTTCTGACAAAGTGGGCTTTCCCTAGATAATTAAATTTCACTCTAGTTCTTTAAAGAGCCAATCTAAATTCATAACAGCAGGCTGGGGAATAGGCATGTGGGGAATGTCAAAGAATGGGAAAAGGTATTTCCTAAACTAACCACTTTGTTTAAACTGTATGACTTCTAAAATGTTTTTACATGTGCAGCCTTAAAACAAGCTACACGGTATGTTTTACTACTCTCCTTTCTCCTGCCTTCAAAACATGATCAACCAAATTTTTGCCCTACAGATATGGCAAGCCACACATTTATTATATATAAAACATTTTCCAGGCCAGGCTTGGTGGTACATACCTATAATCCCAGCAACTTGGAAGGCTGAGGCAGGAGGATCTCAAGTTCAAGAGCAGCCTCAGCAAGAGGCCCTAAGCAACTTAGCCAAGACCGTGTCTCAAAAACCTACAATAAAAAGGGTTGGGAATATATGTAGCTCAAGAATAAAGTGCCCCTGGGTTCAATGTAAAAAAAAAAAAAATCTTTGGTTCCTTAGTTGAATTATTTTTCCTCAAAGAGATCCTACTTCTCTCAAGCACATCCATCTCTTATGTCACACATAATCAACCACAAAAACTCTTTCAGCTTTTAGGATGTGGTGCCAGTGCTTTAGCAAATTCTGAACTCTGTTTCAATGGGCCTACTGCATGACTGTATTTTGGCTTTGTGTGCGTTTCTTATTAATTGTTTTTTTGTTGTTGTTGTTTTGTTTTGTTTTTTGTCTTAAAGCTTCAGATCCTTGACCTGTTCAATACTTTTTCAGGCTGCATTTACTCCTAGTCCCATTGGTCACATTATTAACCAGAGCCTTGACATTCTCTAAGGAAAAGATTGAAAAGAGGAGTTAATAAAGCCAAGAGAGTTCCATGGTGAATTAATCGTGTACACAGGTGTATAAATTAGAGCAAAACCACATGGCAAGCAAAACAAATGCAGGAATACTAAGGCATTTAAAAACAAGATCACTAACTCAAAAGTTTTCATCTTAATGCTTTTACTTTCTGAAGTCAATAATGGGAGCCAAAATATTTTCTGTAGAAAGTGATACTAACTAAACATGCTCTCAAACGTATCCTCTAGGCTTGAGCAATGTTCGATATCCAGGGTTCCTTGAAGCAGTAATGTGAAAACTTGTCCCTCTGGTACAAACAAAAGGGGGTACTGGGCACAGTCTCAGGACTTCTATTCAGGTTACATTTCCTGTCCTGAGCTTAATATTTTTATACTTTCGTAAAAATCTCAAGTAGGATTATAGTTTCAAAGACACATTTTTAAGACATAGTCCAATCAGCCATCAATGACTGGCCATTTGGAATCTAAAGACATAATGACAAACCAATTTGCAATTTCGTTTAGGGTAAATATCCAGTTATAGTTCAACTTTGAAAGAAACTTCAAAGTGCCACTTTGAGGAAAATGATGAAAAAATAGTATGCATATCAAAAAGTCAGAAACAAGGCTATACTAAACAGGAAAGCAGCAGATTAGATCAGACTTCAACAGAGCACCTTCAACAGAGGACCCAGATAAGGTTCAGGCACATGAGCCATCATTTCACAAAACAGAGTGGTCAAGATCAGCCATCACCATTTTCTTGAATGTTCTGCACAGTTCCTGAGTCATGCTTAACCCATTAACTGAGATGGATTCTAAGATGCGTGAAAAGAATACGGTCTCCAGAGTGTCACCTGCACCATAAAAATAGTGAATGGGTCATTTCCACACTTAAAGTTACAACAACTTTTTTGAAGAAATGTAAACTATGAAACAGGAACCATGTAGTTTAGACCCCTGAGTTTGGTTCTTATTTTATTTCTTTGCATATCTGTATGTCAGTGTATATATATATTCTAGAGCTGGAAGGGTGTGAGGGCTCAAGTGTAGTCATTTAAGAGCCTGTGAAATATTTTGAAATGTATTTGACATAACATTCTGTTGTGCTCAGTGCAAACTGAGGTTAATTATATGTACCAAGCATGGCTGTTGGAAGGATTACATGAATATGCTTGGACAATGAAAGGCACACTATAAAACTGGATTCAAGTACAAAGTTGAATTTCTAGGTATTTTTCTCTGTTATAAATAAATAATTTTGCCTGAATATTGTTAGAGTCTGTAAACAAGTCAAGATGGCGCCTGGAAACTGGGATTTAACCACCTACATCTTGAATGGGGGTTGGAGTGGTGTGACATTTGTGAATTAGCCTTAGACACACACAACTGTCTAATAACACAACTCAGGACTAAAATCCTATGGGAAAATCTTCTGTCTCACTCAATTCCTAAAGAGAACCTGTCTGACATTTATCAGGCCTGGGTCATGGGCAAGATATGAAAGATCATCAGTATTGTGTATCTAACAACGAAAGTAGGCTTTCACCTACCATCTAGCAAGAACATTTGCAACAAAAAAAGTCTAAAACTGAATACGATGCCAGATCTTACAGATCATGTTAAATCTTCCTCAGTAAGAGATTCCATTTCACTCGATTCAGAATGTCAATTATCAAGAATACAAGTAGCAATAAATGTTTGTGAGGATGTGGGGGAAAAGGTATACTTATACAATGCTGGTGGGACTGCAACTTGGTGCAACCACTCTGGAAAGCAGTATGGAAATTCTTCAGAAAACTTGGAATGGAACCACCATTTGACCCAGTTACCCCACTCCTCAGTATATACCCAAAGGACATAAAATCAGCATACTACAGTGACACAGCCACATAAATGTTTATAGCAGCTCAATTCACCTGAGTAAAGCTATGGAACCAACCTAGATGCCCTTAACAGATGAATGGATAAAGAAAATGTGTTTTATATTACACACACACACACAGGAATATTACACAGCCATAAAGAGAAATAAAATTATGGCATTTGCCAGTAAATAGATGGAACTGGAGACTCTCATGCTAAGTGAAACAAGCCAATCCCAAAAAGCCAAAGGCTAAATGTTCTCTCTCATATGTGGATGCTAACCCACAATGGAGGGTGGAGATAGAAGTTCACTGACTCAGACAAAGGGGAATGAAGGGAAGGGAGAGAGGATGGGATTAGTAAAGATGCAGAATGAATTGGACATGACTTTCCTATGTTCTCATATTAATATACATGACCAGTGTAAAACCAGAAGAATGGGATCCTAATTAGAATGCGTTATAATCCATGTATGCATAACATGTCAAAATACACTCTGGTGTCATGTATATCTAAAAAGAACAAACAAAAAAAAAATGACTGTATGGAGCAAAAACAAAATCCTCAGTGAGAAGAAAGCTCTTTTGTCAGCTCAATTCTCCCCTGACCTTGGAGAAGGGACTAAATCATGGGATAAACCATGTTTTACCAAGGTATGGAGGAACCTGTTGCCTCTATAACTTCTTATGTCCTAGGACTCCCTAAACACATTTAGATATGAACAGGGACAATTGTCATGGGATCTTGTCACCAGACACAGGAGCATGACTAAAAACCTGCAGTAACAAGTACAGTCAACAGGAACAGCCCACCTAGACTATCAACCAAATCAAAGTGACAGGTTTCCATAAACAAGGGTGCAGGAACTCCAAAGAGGACTGGGAAACCTCATGCTCTCTGGACAAACATCAAAAGCCAAAGTTGGTCTTCCCCTATAGAGATAGTACCAATGGCGAAACCTGAAGGAATAACTGGAGACCCTGACCATGCAAAAGAAGGTTACAGAAGGTCACAGAACCTCCCACCCCTTCCCCAGCCCTACCTCCTCAAACACCCCTCCCTCTCTCTGCCCACTCCAGCCCACAGCTGTCTCCTGGATCTCAAAAGTTTGGGGCTGCTTAAAGACATATGATGAGGGGGAAGGAATGTTGTTCTAAAGCCTACTTTTCTTCACCCTTGGATATGGGGATGGACAAGGAAGGAAGTGATGAAGGGGACAACTTGTATATTCCTTTTAAAATTAAATACTTTTCCCCCCCTTAAATATCACTTGAGAAATCTGCCTAAGAACCATTCATGATTTATTTATTTGATTTCAAACTGTGACTCAGCCTACCCTTCTGGATGAGTCCCACCCAAGAGTATCCCAGCTCCTGTCAACTTACTATGATTATCCGGCAAGAGATGAGCGTGTCCTCAGCAGAACACACACAAAAGTTCCAAATCCTCTGTTAGTTCCTAATCTCTACACTGAAACACACTGAGGAACCAACTGGTCACCAAAATGTCACCAGCCAAACACTTCAACACCCTGCCCCACTGAGAATACCACACTCCAATTCAAGACCATGGATGGCACAAAGCAGCTGCTGACTGTTCCCATTCTCATTGTTTACTGCTGAGTAAACATCAGGGATCACTGAAGTACCACGTGCAAGGGCAAGAGGACAGGCCATTTAAGTCCCTGTAGACCAGCTGCCCCTCCCAGAACACTTCACTTTCCAAAACACTGTCTTCAAGGGCTGGGTGGGTGCCAGAGAAATTACTGATTCTTAAAGCATCTTGAGCTTTAGATCTTGGTAATTCAGAGATGCTTTAAAAACAGAAGGCTGTTGCCACTTTGTAATATGGTGATCTGTTTTTCTCTTTGAAAATGCTTCCACTAATTAGGAAAATACATGCAGCCCTCTTGCAATGCTCTTAAAAGAAGCACCCTCATTTAATATGGCTTACTACTTCACACAAAGTTACCTCACAACCCTGTAAGCAGACCGCATCCAGTGCTGACCGCTTACCACCCCTATAAAACTTAAAGAGGAGAAGAAAGCTTCACCCACGTCTCACCAATAACTGTTTATCAATTGAGTTATAAAAGAAGCTACTCAGTTTTTTATTATCTAAGCTTTTAGGACAGTTCAAGTTCAATACATACAATGTTTCATTCATGCTGTTAAATTGATAATATTAACCTTTCTTGCTGAGATGCATTAAAAATTCTGGCAAATGTAATTAGTTCATATTAGTAACTTCACCAGCAGCAGCGACAGAAGCAAAGTGAACTAACAGGCTATGGATTAAAGTAATCAAAATATCACCTCCCATCATCCCCACTCTCTAGGCAGCTGGCTGCACTTCCTCTCTTGGTTGGATTTTTTTCCTTTTAATAAAAATAATAGATCAATGAAATGGATGAATAACTACTTGTAATCCTCCCTTGGGGGAGTATTGTACAGGAAACCATTTTGGCGAGTGATCCCTAAAGTTTTAAATTTGATGTGTCTGTTCAATACCATTTTGACAAAAGATTTTTCCAGGGCAAAAACCTTGAATGGAAGGAAGAGAATGGAGAAAGCCAGAAGCTATATGTGGATCATGGGATTGGGTGTTTCTAGAGCCCCACCATAATTATCTTGCTTTCTAAACAACAAAGTCAGAGAAACAAATCAAAGTCATGTTTGTCCTTTAAAGTACCTCCAACACATTCCTGCAGTGAACTTGTGTACACCCTATACTGCCCATCCATGCTGAATCTTTGTTGTTTTGCGACACTCCCTCTTCTGATCAGAATATCCACCTTTTCTTCTAAGGGATCAACTTCTCTCTTCTTTCTCACTGAGGGTGAGGACCATATAGCTTGGGCTGGTTCATCTCTGGAACAAATAGGTAGAGGGAGCCACATCCAGAGAGACCTCCTGAAACCTGTCTGTGTCATGAGAAGAGAGCCCTTGCTCTTGGGCACTGATTTCTAAGTTAGGGGAATGCAGGGTTGAAGTTGCCAACAACCACTTTTCTCTCACATGGATCATAAGTAAGCTGATATGCTGGTAAGCAGAGTCATGAAGAACCCTTAGTGCCCTGTTGAAACCAGCTCCACTCCTGGACTATACCATTAAGTGGGACTTTTTTGAATAGACCAATTGAAATAGGTTTTCTTCTCTAGGAAACGAAAGTGAAGATACTTCATATAACACATTTTCAATAGTGCTGCCTGGACTTGGGAGGATTGGGGAATGGATGAAAATGGGGGTGGTCACCTTTCCCAATGTTTCAGGATCCCAGGAACAAGAGCACTTCAATGAATAGCTCTTCTGTGCTCTCCAAGGTGAACAAACTACAATCCAATCAGCACTGTCATTAGGACATTTTAGGTCTCAGACAATATGAGGAAGCAGAGATAAAAAGGAAGGACATTGCTAAACTTTGAGGTTAGAAGTTTGAAGTAGAGTGATAGAATCCTTTCTTTAGGGTCAGATTTTACATGTAAGCTGTAGAAAAAAAAATTATCCTATTAATTTGTCTTGGCATAGAAGGGAAAAATCTAATTCAGAACAACATAAAAACTAAAAAAAAAAAAAAAGCAAAACTCACACTAAGAGGGAAGTGATTTCATGGCTCCCCTAAAGTCAGCATGAATCAGAAGGCACCAGTGTAGTTTTTTATCCAAAATCAACAAAGCCCTCAAAGGTTCACAACTGGCCTCCTGGCATCCTTCAAATACAAAGGGCAGTTAATGTTCAGATTTGTAGTCACCAATTAATCCAAAACATGCACTATTTATCAAGTTCATACCTCTATTTAAGTTTTAAATTGCTGTGTTAGCATTTGACTAAGCCTGAACTGACACAGCTTTTGGGGTCAGTACTTTACTGCAAAGTTAATGTCACCTTTCCGAAGCTTCCATGGATGCAAACACTGTAAGTCTTTCTGGGCAGTTCTAGGTGCAATCAAAGGACATAAACAAACTTTTTTTCCATGTGTTTCCATTTGAAAAAAAAGAAAGCATGATGAGAAATATGGAGACTTGATTGAGGCTGACCTACTTTGAAGTTTAGAAGGACGCATTTATAGCCAACAATTTAAAAACTGGAAAAAAAAAAAAGTATGAAAAAAATCAGCATGTCCTATAACTATGACTAAGAATACCTAGTACTGTGCCCAGTTACAAAGCCCAAGTGATCTTCACAGCAAGTGATACATTATCATTTGAGAATACAAAATTCAAAGAAATTATAACACAACAAAAACTTCAGATGGAAATTGTAGTAAAGTTTATATGAATTTGGAGCACGCTTTTTTTTATATCTAAGAATTGCAAATTGAAACATCTGAGGGTCCCAGAAGACCAGCTAATGTTACCTACTGCTTGGAACACTATTCAATTACTGCAGTATGTTTGTAAAGGACTTTCAGGGTATGTAATATCACCACTGTTATGGTCCTGCCTATTAGCAGATCAAATATATTAAATTATCTAGAAATAAGACTTGAAAGAAAGGAAAAGAAAAAGAAGATTAGGGATAAACAATACAAATCTCTAGGCTTTGCCACCCAAAGATACTTTTCGTAGATTGTTTGAGGCCCCTATCAGTGATTTCAGAAAGAGAAGTAGCCTGGAAGCAGTCTGGAGCTCCATCAGATCTTAAGATTTTCGAGGGTGGGGAGTGGGGGGTTGCTTCACCACATCTCAGCTTATCAGGTAGAATAAGCTTAAGGATTTTGAGAATTCCTCTCTCAAATGACAGTGCTAGGGGAAACAGCAATAAAGGCTCCTCAAAAGGGAAGTTCCCTACCTGAGATCTTCCCCCTCCAGTGGACCACATGTGGGGGTTAAAAAAAAAAAAAACAAAAAAAACAAAACTTTCTCTCAGATTATTTTGTCTCTTTGTTTGAAACCTGATAAGAAGAACCTGGGCCCTTCTAAACAGCCTCCTTTCCTGGAGACTCAGAGGAACCTCTGGACACAATTCTGGGATCAGTGTGTTGATTCCCTGCCACAGAGGTCCCCTCTATAGAACATACCAGGAACTCAAACATGCAGACACCTCTCTGGGTATCAGCCACTCCTTCACATATAATTTTTAAAAACATACCTGAGAGGACTTTCTTTTTTCTACTTCCCACAATCCTCCTGCTGGATATTAAGTGTCCTCTAAAGGCCCCTGCAGTAAAGTCTTAGTCCCCAGCACAGTGCTGGCAGGATGTAGGGGACCTTTAGGGTGGGGCCTAGTAGGAGATCTTCAATCCATTGGGAACATGCCTTGGAGGGGAAGTGGGACCCCAGCCCATTCCTCTTCCTCTCTTTCACTTCCTGGTCATGAGGTGAGACACTTTGCTTTACCATGTGCTCATGCCATGATGTGCTACTTTGCCTAAAAGCATTGGTGCCAACGGATCATGGACTAAAACTTCCAAAACTGTGAGCCAAAATAAACTTTTTCTCTTTATAACTTGCGGATCTTGGGCTAGGCTTGTGGCTCTGTGGTCGAGTGCTCACCTAGCATGTGTGAGGCACTAGGTTCAATCCTCAGAACCACATAAAAATAAATAAAGTCATTAAAAATTTAAAAATAATAATAACTGGCCTATCTCAGGTACTCATTATAGCAATGGAAAGACTGACACACCTCCCTTTGGTGGTGTCACTAAGATGACTCCTAAAACAGGTCTCTAGGGTTGTTTGTCCCTCTTTCTAGCCAGCCCCATATTTCCAAGACCAGTTCCACCTGCTCATGCCACAAGAAACTCAAACTCAATGTGCCAACATTACAAATATTTTCTCTTCCACCCCTGCCAAATGTCTACCTTTTGTTTTTTCTGATTCCTTGTTAATAGCATTGGTGGTCAATTGGTTTCTTCTAATAGAAACTCAGGCATCCACAAAGAGGAAAAGCTCTTTGCTTTTCTTCTACATTCCCAATCAACTTCATCCTTCACCAAATCTTGCTAAATCTATCTCCAATTCTTCTGACACCCTTTTTTTATGCTCACTCTT